CACCATGGTCAAGTTCTTAGTAGGTCCTGAAACCTTACCATGAGCTCTGGAAATGGGGGAGACCTAGAGGAAATACCCATTCCAAGGCTCCACCTTGGAAGCTGCCCCAGTTTGATGAGGCGAGAACTGCGTACTCCAGAGAATACTATGCAAAAGACAGAGGTCTGATTTCACCTTTCAGGCATTCTTAGCCCCTGTCTCTAGCTAGATCATGGTCCTCTCAAGGGCAGGAATTGAATGAAAAGTTTCTCTCTTGCTTCACCGGACCCAGCACGTACTAGTGGACAAGCTCCCATTCTGGAGCAGATTGAGAACTCCCTCCCGTTGGCCCCAGAGGGACATCAGTAGCACCTTGCTTTGCCTACACCTTTGGACTTTTACCAACTGCGGGAAACCCTACACAGAAGTGAAAATCTGGTATCAAAAAAGTCCTCCTTTTTCTACAAAGAGCATGTCTTTTGTGCGTAACTGTTATAATGACATCAAAGAAAAATTTTTTAATTAAGAAAATTTTTAAATTTTTGACATGATGACAGAAAGGCTGTCTAAAATATACAGCACCTGAATTTTCTTTCACTCCTCTACCTATGTGTCTTGAATCACCTGGGTTCAGTATAGATTGTCCCCAAATTAGCTACAGTCCAGAGTTTCCCAGCAACTGAAGCTCAGATCAGTAACATTTATCCTCTGGATACTGTTCCAGCACCAGTTTCATCCAGTTAATTAGGTTCTTTGTAATTAGCCTTAATCGCCTTGTTAGGGGCCCCTGCTGATAATAGCCCAATAGCCAGGAATCCCCAGGTAGAACAAATGAGACTGGGGGAGATGTCAGTCCTGTCATTCTGTGTACATGCTGAGTGGGTAGCAGGGCTCTCAGAGAGAAAAGGAGGGCAGTGGGGTGCCTGAGGAGAGGGGAGGATTTGAGACAGACCTCTGCCTCGGGGTTACATTTTATTCTGGACTTCATCCAAGACACAGAATCCAAGAAGGACTGGCTTAGCACCGTGTCTAAGAATGAGGAAAGTGCCCCTGTTGTCATCCAGAAAAGGAGGCGCCTGAGCCTTTTCTTGACGTGACTTACAGAGGGGTTTGGAGGCAGGGCGAAGATGATGGATGTTGTGAGCAGGCGGGGGTAAGGCTGTAGGGTTATAAACATACAGAATGAGGAACGCTCACAAGGAGAGTGGGTCACGAGGCCCATTTCAGGAGGGCCACTATGCATTCATCAGCCAGGGACCCCGTGTGTCCCATAGCCTTGGGCCAATTGGGAATTGCTCTCCAAGTATCCGAAACACCTACTGAGTACCTACTTAGGACCAAGTACTGTCAGCGACAGCTGCAGCTGCCACCACTGCCGTGTCATAGGTAAGGAAACTGACTCAGAGAAGTCAGGGAGATTTGTCTGAAGTCACAGAAGGAGTCGGTACAGAACCAGGGTCACAGCCTGAGGTCTCCTGGCGACAGACACCCTCTGCTTCACAGCATGGCGATATTATGTGGGAGAGCACGTTCAGATGTTATTCATCTTTACAGGACTTTGGCCTGGGCATTCAGTGCCTGGCCCAGGGGTGCAGTCTCAGCCCCCATGGGCAATCTCGTGACCAGGAGCCCAACTCTAGTGTGAGTTTGAGAACAGGTTTGTTGTTGGCCCAGCTGCTGTTCCTCACCTGGTGGCTGCGGTGTTGGACACACGCACACAGCACCGTCATTTGCACTAAAGTACAGATCCTCCTGTGCTGAGGAGCCGTCTCTTACTCTCTGAGCCCTGCTCTCTGACCCAGTCCCGGAACTCCTTTGGAGAAGAGTGGCAGGGAGAGGAAGGGAGAGCATGCAGCCCACTTCTGGTCCAGGCTGGGTTGTACAGAATGCACACTCTGCAGTTATGAAATGAGAGAATCCCTTCACAGAGCAGCAGCCCTGAAAACCACCAGGAGTCAGCAGGGGGAGTCTGCTGCTCTGAGTCTAACATTTCCTCCCCAATGAAGTTTAGGGATCCCTAGAACAGAAGAGCCAGAATGTTATTGAACGTTTTATAGCAAGCCATGTAAAAATATGTGAGGACAGACCTGGAAACTTAACACTGCTCTTTGGCCCAAGTAGCTCCACCATAGAGAAGGGGGCTGGCCTGCGAAGCTGCGTGGCCCTGTGAGTGTCTCTTAGAGCTGCACTCTGAGGGAGGAAACTTACGATCTGACTGAGAAGTAATTCTGGAAAGAGTTCTGGGTCTACTTAAGAGTTTCATCTACAGAAGGTCCCAGTTCCCCATCTGAGTTGCTGTGCTGACTCTGGCCCTGCAGCCGAGCAGCACATCACACTTCATGTAAGCTTGCGTGCCAGCTGATGTGACGTGTCAGCAATGTGATCGCCTCCCATCATTCTCTCCCTCACTTCCATTTTGAAGGATACCGAAAAGCAGTCATGCCTGATCTTCGGTTGTTCAACTAAATTAGTGGTTAATTCTTTCTATTTCTCTTTCTGCCCCTGCTCCTGGGTAAGAGGAGCACATGGACGCTAGGACCCCAATACTTTAAACTTTGGACAGAATTTGAGGAATAGAGATGGAGCTGCCAGGTGATGGAGCCCCAGCTCCCACTGCCTTCCTCTGCTGACATTCACTCCAGGTTTCATCAGACTCCCAGCCCCTCATCCTGGCTGCTGTGGTTTGCACAGCCATAGATGTCCAGGCCTCTAGAACCTATGGAATATGCTTCCTTCTGCGGAGGACTCATTAAAAGCTGCTTCCTTTCTAGAAGTGAAGAGATACACTTTACAAATCAAAGAAATTGGGTGGTAGCCCTGCTTTTTTGACTTCTGAACCAGCCCAGCTGTGGGGACCATGTTCTGAGTCTAGAGCCAGAACTCTTGGCCTGGGGACCCTAAAGAGTCATATAAAGAAGACGCTTATTTCATAAATCTTAGTTTGTACCACTGAGCCAGTGGTATTGGGGTCCCAGACCCCATGTGCTCCTCTTACCCAGGAGCAGAGGCGGAAAGAGAAATAGAGGAACAATAATTTGGTTGAACAACCAAAGATCAGGCATGACTCCTTTTAGGTACCCATCTAAATAGGAGTGAGGAAGAGAATGATGGGATGTTTACCTGCCTTCCCAAGCCATTTCACCAGATTTATTAATTTGGGCCAAAGCTTTCAAGGGAAGAGATGATCCAGCCCCGTCATTGACCATAGCAAAATGGAAAGCTTGGATTTGCCCTAGCTAGGAGGGAAAACACCATGGTTTAGGAGAAGTACTCTGAGAAGAAGAATGTCAAAGGCTTGGGCATGTACCAGCCAAGGAATCAGATGTAGAAAATTTGGCATGTCAGAAGAATGGACTGAGTTTTCTGTGAACCGGCCACACTGGTTGATACTTTCTCAGAGTCCTGAGAAATAGGAGGTCCCTTAGAAGTAGGCCTTATTTTGGGACCAGCAGTTAGTGTAATGGCTATTTCGCTGGACTCCTACGTAGTCAACCGCGGTTCGCGTCCCGGACCTGGTGGCTTAAACTCATGCCGGGCGCATGTGCGTGCATGCCCAAGATCCCGAGAGGAGAATGGAGGAGAAGGGATTGCGGCGTGGCCATCCCCCCTGGGGGGTGATTTCTCGCTTTCTATCTCTCTGTCTCTCTTTGTCTGGCGAGCGCACGCGCCCTATAGCAAAAACCTCTTCAAAAAAAAAAGAAGTAGGCCTTATTTCTTGCTCCAAAAAGGCCAGTTCCATTCAGTATGATCGTTTGCATATCCTGTTTTCTGTTCTATGGAGGAAAAAGACGTGACTGTCAAGCTTATTCGTAAGGCAGATGTAGCCGTTCAACGCTGTGGAGCGTTTCCCTCTTCAGTCTGCAGATCTGTCAGGAACTGGTCCCGCTCACCTTCAGCCCCATTTGCCCGTGCTGGGACCCTAACTTGAACTGTGCTGGATGACTAGTTATTATTTGAACACCCCTATTACCTCCTGTTGCGATTTCGGACACTCACACATGCACCCAAGCTCAGCGTGCTTTTCAGGCTGCTGGGTCTCAGGCTCGAGCAGTGCAGTCAGCTGTGTGAGATCTAGCCACCTCAGCCACCTGCTGGCCCAACCTCTCACTTCCAGCGTTTCCTCACCCTAGAAGTGTTCCCAGCTGCCCCGGCCCTAACCTGAGTGTGGAGTTCCTTCTTCGTGCCCTACTGGGGTCTCCCCTTTACCTTTATCATTTCAGTTATCACCTTGGACACAGGGGCCTCCTAGTTTGTCTCCCCAGTAGGTTGTGAGTGTCTTGACTCCATCCACACCCTGAAGAGTGCTTGCAACGTGATTATCTGTACTTGTGGATATAATAATTATGTAAAAACTGTAGCTCCAATTTGTTGTATGCCCGCTATGTCATAGATATTAAGGTGAGCACATTTTGTGCATTGTCTTTTTCACAAAAATTCTAGGAGGTGGAGGCAGTTACGAGTATTTCTAACAAAACTGAGTCTTAGTTGAAGTGACCTGCCAAAGTCAGTGCTCTAGCTGGGATTTGAACACAGGTGTCAGGGCTGCCAACCATGATACTACAGTGGCATTTCTTTTTTTTTAATTTCTTTATTTTTTAATTGCCAGAAGGCATGTGTGATTGCTATAGAAAGAGAATGAGAGAGAGAGAGAGAGAGAGAGAGAGAGGGAGGGAGGAAAGAGCCCCAGTGGGCATGGCCACACTGCAATCGCTATCCTCCATTTCTCCTTCCCATCAGGACATTAGGCATGGACACACGTGGGTCTAGTATGATTTTCAAGCCTCCAGGCCCTTATTTCAACCATGGTTGGTCATGTGGAGTCCAGCTCCCAATGCATAGCACCTAACCACTATGTTACAGGGCCAACCTGGCTTTTTGGTTTAAATGGGAATGTGATTTCAATTATTTCACTTGCTGAACAGTTGTATTTGGTAACTTGACTGAGTGAACTAGCAACTGAAAGTAAAGAGAACTGTGAGCTGTTCTTACAAAGTTTGTGGGGTCTTTTTTTGTTGTTGTAGGTTCTGACAAGTGGACCTCCCTAGAAAGGAAACTGTTTAATAAAGCACTAGCCACTTACAGCAAAGACTTTATTTTTGTACAGAAGATGGTAAGTGGATTTTCCTCGTTGCTCACTTGAAATTAAATATAGAAAATTGTATACCTGAAGATACTTAGAGATACTTGGTTACTGGTTTAATGCTCTCACAGAAAGGATGTCTCCTACCCCTTGCTAATGAAGGCTGGTAGGTATTACAGGGATGGCATGACCCCTGTGTGAGAGGTATGGGGAGGGGGATAATGAAGGAGAAAGAAGACGTAGGTTATTTGAACATGGTAGTGACGTGGGGGGTTATTTTCTCTCTTTTGGGGTTTTTATTCTTAAGTTTATTTATTTCTTCCATGAGTGAGAGAGGCAGAGAGAAGGACATACAGCCCCCTCAGCAGGGTCTGGGTGCTGCAGTCCACCCCAGCCTTGGCCCGCCCATGATGTTGGGTGCACATGCTCAGTGAACTCAGGGAGGCCTTCAGATAGGAACCCAGAACCTTCCCATGTGGGTCAGCCTCACAGAGTGTTGCATTTTACCACTTGTGCTACTGTATGGCCCCTATTTTTAAAATAAATATTGTATCTTAATAAAAACATGTAGTTGATACATTCTGTCCAGATAACTAGAACTGGGCCTTCTGGTTCAAATATCACATAATTTATTATCATGTTCATTTGACGAATCTACCATATTTCTGAGAGAACCTTTGAGAAACAGAGAGAGGAGGACCTGTAACCTCCCCTCCCCAGTAACAGAGTTTCTGGTGTTAGGCCTCTAATCATGACAATGACAGTAAAAATAATATTCTGCATATGCAGCATTTTACAGCAAATTAAACCCCTTTCACATAGATGAAACAAAACTTCATACAAGTAATAAATTTAGTAGAGTGGTTTAATAAACTTAATAGACAGGTGCTTAGGCTAAAAAGTTAAAATGATACAAAGAGGATTTCCACAAACTAATGAAGAATGGAGCTCTAATTTTTTTTTTTTTTTAAAGATTTTTGCCTTTGTGCACATGTGCTCGCCGGAGACAGTGAGAGGCAACATGGGAAATCACACCCCAGAGGGGATGGCCTTGCTGCAATTCCTTCTCTATTCTCCTCCAGGGATTTTTGGGCACAAACATGTGCATGCCTGGTGTGAGTGTCAAGCCATTAGGTCTGGGATTGACACTCCTAGACCATGTGGGAGTCCAGCACCTTAACCACCATGCCACCTGTTGGTTCTGCCATTTTTTTTAAAAGAATTATTTTATTTAAATCCGTTTATTTATTTATTTTAATTTGACCAGAGTGAGAGAAAGAGAAAAAAAGAAAGTGAGAAAGCAAGCCACCAGGTTCAGGACTCGAACCACAGTCGGCCATGTGGGAGTCCAGTGCCCTTAACCACCACGTCACCTGGTGACCCTGACATGCTGTATTTTTAAGGATGATTAAGAGTGTTCACAGAGAACAGGGTCACAGGTGACAGCTCCCACTGGCTCTCTTGGCTGGTGTCTTAGGGTGGCATGTCTCCTTTCTTCCATCTGGTCTTGCCTGGATGAGCAGGCAAGGCAGGCTTTGTCTCTGACTTGCCTCCATCTCTAGATCTGCCTTTCCCTTCCTGATGCCCTTTACAACCCCTAATGCCCAGCAGTTCCCGTGCTCCTGTCTTCTGGGAGTCACCTTCTCCCTGGAATGACCGGCCCAGGCTTCGGTCCTTGAAGGCCTCACACTTTGCTGACAGGGTTTGTGGGTTGTGCTTGCCAGGCAGCGAAGGTTTTAAACCAGGGTTCTGTGGGGCAGAATCTTCACTGCCTGGGATGATGCTGGTGTAGAAATTGTAGATGTCTAGTGAATGTGAGGGGAACTTTTGAGGAGAAAGGACTTCTGGGGTGCCCTTGCCAGCTCACCAGGCAGGTGGCCACATTCCTATCCCCAAGGATGACCCCCAGGGTCGGGCCAACCATGACTCTACTTCCAGAAAACCCACTGTATTAAACCCCACCAGAGCATAGGAACTCCACAAAGAAATATTTTCAATTTAAAATACAGATGCCTTTTCCTCTTTGGGAGTAAACAGGACAAAGCTTGTTTCTACAAAATCTAAGCTCTGTCATAGCTTTTTCCTAATACTCCTATTCTGTTACTAAAGAACATTCTTCATAGATTCTGAAGGTCAATAAGTCAGAGAACTAAACACATTCAAGTGCATCACGTAAAAAGACATTACTTATTTTTATGAGTTTAAAAAATGAGTAAGGACTCTATGGACTGATCTAAACAACAACAACAACCCTCTAAGCTATATTGTGGAAAAAATCAAGTCGGAAGACAAATGCTACCTTTTTATCAGGAAAGATGGTGGAAGAGGAATCTAATTTTGTGTTTGCTGAAACACGTGTAAAGAACTTCTGGAATGGCACTTGCAGAGTGAATACAGATGGCTACCTATGTTGCAGGGGTGAGGCGTGAGACAGCTGTGAGACAGAGGCTTTTCATCGTATACATTTTCTATTGAACTATACAAACTCACCTCTTAAGTAATTAAAGTTTTTTTTCCAGTTTTTTTTGCCATGGGGTGTGTGCGGTCACTGGAGAGACAGAGACATACAGTGAGACAGAAAGTGAGAAATCCCCTGGGAGGGATGGCCATGCCACAATCCTTTCTCCTCCATTCTCCTCCTGGGATTTTAGGCACACATGTACACATCCCTGGTGTGAGTTTCAAGCTACTGGATCTGGTATTCGAACTGCGGTGGGCCACGTGGGAGTCCAGCACCTTAACCGCCATGCCACCTGCTGGCCCCTAAAATTAAATATGGTAAAAGGCTTGCTGCGTGGCTCGCTGTCCACTGCTGAAACTGATTCTGAGCTCGCTTTCTGGCAGGTGAAGTCCAAGACGGTGGCTCAGTGCGTGGAGTACTACTACACGTGGAAGAAGATAATGCGGCTAGGGCGGAAACACCGGACACGCCTGGCGGACATCATCGACGACTGCGTGGTGAGTGCAGCTACTGAGTTGTTGCTCGTGCTCGTCCCACCTCACAGCCAGCTTTGGTTTGCCTCTGCTCCCAGGATAGCCAGATAGCAGCAGCGACGGGTGACAGAGGCCTGGCTCCCTCGTGGATTTCGAAGCTGAATCCCTTAGACTGGTGGAGGGAGGCATCCTCAGGTTTGGCCTGCAGCTTAGGAAAGGGCTGGCTTGTGTTTTAAGATAGGGAGAAGCCAGGAGAGATAACCAGGCGGGCCTGAACCTTGGCTTACTTGGTTTATAACTGGGTACCATGACCACCTGGAGTATTCTTTCTTCATCCCTCCTCTCATGTCATAGCTGCTACTGATCTAAGACTGTAACAGGCCTCAGAGAGACGAGGGAGCCCTAGGAGTTTGCCCTGGCAGTCTATAAGGCATGAGACAGCACTTTGACCTCTAGAGAGTACCAAGAACTCTCAGTCATTGAGGGCCTGGTCAGCAGTGTGTGGATGGCTCTAATTCTTACACTGTCATGTATCCCTGACATCGATTTTCTTCACTAGCAGACATCTAAAGTCATCTGTGTATTGAGATGAAATACATGCCGGTCAGCCACAGTGATGACATTAGTGCAACGCTCTGTGATGCTGAAGCCCAGTGAGATGGTCCCAGGTTGATGTCCCAGGGTCTCTCTGTATATGCCAGGCACGTGTGCACCTGTGACTCCTGACTGGCTAAAGCCGGGGGTGGGTTGCAGTGTGAAGACCCTGTTGGGAGTGCCTCCCTTTCTCTCTCTTTCTCTCTCAGAAGAAATAAAGGGGGGGGGGGGACCAGCAGTTAGCATAATCGCTATGTCGCTGGACTCCCACATAGTCGACTGCGGTTCGAGTCCCAGACCCGGTAGCTTAAACTCACACCAGGCGCGTGTGCGTGCGTGCCCAAGATCCCGAGAGGAGAATGGAGGAGAAGGGATTGCAGCGTGGCCATTCCCCCTGGGGGATGATTTCTTGCTTTCCGTCTCTCTCTCTTTCTGTCTGTCTGGTGAGCACACACACCCTATAACCAAAAAAAAAAAAAAAACAAAACAAAAAAAAACTCCCCAAAAAAAGAAATAAAGGGGTTTTTGTTTGTTTTTTACAGAGAGAGATTTTTGCTACAAGCTGCATACACTCACTGGAGAGACAGAGAGAGAGAAAGCAAGAAATCACCCCCCAGGGGAGACGGCCACACCACAATCCCTTCTCTTCCATTCTCCTCTCAGGGCTATGGGCATGCACACACATGCACCTGGCGCGAGTTTTTAAGTTGCTGGATGCGGGACTCAACCCACAGTTGACTATGTGGGAGTCCAGCGGCATAACCATTATGCCATCTGCTGGTCCTGAAGAAATCGTTTATTAGGTTTGTTTGTTTGTTGTTTTTGTTTTTGTTTTTGTTTTGTTTTGGGTTTTTGTTTGTTTGTTTGCTATAGGGCACATGTCCTTGCTGGAGAGACAGAGAGAAAGCAAGAAATCACCCCCTGGGGGGATGGCCATACCACAGTCCCTTCACCTTCAGTCTCCCATTCTCCCCTCAGGATTTTGGGCATGCTTGCACATGCACCTGACATGGGTTTCAAGCCACTTGTCTAGGATTTGAACCACGGTCAAAAACATGGAAATCCAGCGATGTAACCATTGTGCCATCTGCTGGTCCCAGAAATAAAGTTTAAAAAAAAAAAAAAAAAGATTAAAGGGCCAGATGGCAACATAGTTGTAGTGTAACTGGGCCCACATGGGAAAGGTTCTGGGTTCATGTCCTGGGACCTCCCTGAGCACACCATGTAGGAACCTCGTTGAGGGTGCCTGTCTGCTGTATCTCCCTAATAGAAGAAATAAATAAACTTAAAAAAAAGATTAGAGGAGCCAGCAGGTGATGTGATGGTTAAGGCACTGGACTCGCACATGGCTGACTGGTTTGAGTGCTGGACCTGGCAGATTGCTTTCTCACTTTCTCTCTCTTTCTGATCAAGTTAAAAATAATAATAATAACAAATAAAATTAAATTAAAATATTTTTTAAAGAAGATTAGGTATATATGATATAACAAAATAGTCTCTGAACCCCTTATGTCTGACCTTGATAATTACTATCCCTTGTGATGTTTATAACTGATTCTCCTCTCCACCTCTATGCCCTCCTTTACATACTTGGTGGAAAACCTCACCTACCATGTATGTGTATATAAAAATTTTGTCTTTAGAACAAAATACTAAACTCCCGTCTCTATCATCATTGGCAAACGTGCTTAGAATTCATGAATGATGTGACTATTTGCAGTTCGATTTTTATTCCCAATTGTGCCCTATTCATGTTAGAATATGTTTCGGTGATTTTCTTTAACGGCCACTTAACTGACACTTGGTGTGTGCTGGGCATTATGCTAGGCATTTTATAAACACTGACTCGTTTAATCCAGTCACTTCATTTCATGCCCGTTCTGTGAAGAAGGAAGCTAAGGCTCAGAGGTTAAGTTGGCCAGGGTCACACAACTGGTACGTGTGTTGTCTGAGTCTGGTTTTCTTATGTAGTATTTAAGAGCAGTCAAATTCTCTTAGAGAAGTATAAAAACACTTGAACTTAATGCTTCAGAATATAAGCTCTTGGGACCAGCAGATGGCGTAATGGTTATATCACTGGACTCCCACATAGTCGACCGCGATTCGAGTCCCGGACCCAGCAGCTTAAAACTCCGCTGGGCACGTGTGCATGCGTGCCCAAGATCCCAAGAGGAAAGTGGAGGAGAAGGGATTGCGGTGTGGCCATCCCTCCTGGGGAGTGATTTCTCGCTTTCTGTCTCTCTGTTTCTGTCTCTCCAGTGAGCACACACACCTATAGCAAAAATCTTTCAGAAAAAAAAATATATATAAGCTCTTACCTAAGAATTGATTATAGTTATGAAATATACATACATATATAAATTTATATTTAGGTCCAAATATCAGGAAAGAGAAGTCTGTTGAATAGAATGGTATTGCAGTATTCTGTATTTAGGGTTTTCTGTGACCAGGGCTTTTGTTTTTGCCATAGGGCGGGCGCCACCACGCCCCAAGGGGCTTTTGTTTGATGGGTTTAAGTAATAATAAATTATATAGGAAGAGCCTTTTGCTCATCCATGGCCTAATGTGAAAAAAAAAAAAAAAGTATAGCCTCCTCTGAATCCTTACAATGTAAGCATGTGGTACTATGGGTGACCCAGCAAGTTAAGTGGTCTCTGCCTTCCCTACCCCAACCCCAGAGCATATATTCTAGTTCGGAAGATAATGCATACACAGTGGAAAGTGTACCATGAACCTAAGTGTGTTTAAAAGCAGAATGAGATGAGAACTGGAACGTCTTAAGTACGGCCTTAGTGATTCTCTTGCTCTCTGTCTCTCTCTTTCTCTCTCTGTCTGTCTTCCTCCCTCCCTCAGCCAGTTCCCCCATTTCACAGGCAGGTTAAGGCTCAGAGAGGGAAAAGAGACTTGCCCAAAATTACAGAGCATGACTTTCCAAATAAGTAGAACAGACAGTAAACGAGGAAGCACAGAGAATCCTGGCCCTGGAGACCTAGGACCTGCCTCCTAGGTTTGTTCACATGTCAAATGGGCCAGATGATTTAGATGATGTTGGAAGCCCCTTCTGATTCTCGAATGTTCTCAGTTCTGGTAGTGCTGTGTTTTGGGAAAGGACAAAGTTGGAGGAAATAGTCTCCTAGTGTAAATTGTGTCTCTGAGGCTCAGGTGCTTCCAAGAGCCTAGGACAGGGCCTGGCGTAACAGAGGTACTCAGTAAACCTTTGCTGAATGAGTGGGTGGACATTTTTCCAAGGTAGAAGTCACTCCGGTTCATACCATTGTTCCCTCTGTGAACTCACTGGAGGGAGGTGGCATAAACAAGGAGATTCTGAACAAAGGAGTGTCTCTGAGGAAGATGTTCTCAGGTAGGCACCTGTGCCATCCGGGGCTAACAGGGCACTGTGAGTAGAAAGACCCAGGCTCAGGGGCCTTATATTCACCAGGTAGTACAGTGGTTAAAGCGCTGGATCCCACATGGCCCACTCCGTGATTCAAGTCAAAGACCTGGCAGCTTAAAAACCATGCCAGGCACTGTGTGTGTGCCCAAAATCCAAGAGGAGAGTGAAGAAGGGATTGCAGCATGGCCCATCCCCCCCAGGGGCGATTTCTCACTTTCTCTCTGTCTCTCTCCAACAAGCCTGTGCACCCTGTGGCAAAAATCTAAAATTTAAAAAAAGAAAAAGAAAAAGGCCCAGGTCAGCATGGAGCCTCATATTAGAATGAGTGGTTAAGCCAATACCTAAGGGCCACACCCTCTTGGACTTATTTGCCAGGAACCAGTATTAAGCTGGGTGAGGAACATCCACACCCTTGTCACTTGTGAGCTTAGGGAGAGCAAAAAGCTTATGTGCAGAGATGAGTCAGGCCTGCAAAAACAAGAAAATCCCGATTTAAGGCCAGCATGGTAGCTCACAGCTCCCTCATGGGTACTGTGTCCACAGTCAGCCTTCTGAGCATAGTTTGCCAAGGGAAAATGAAAAATTGGAATCATGCAAACATTCAGGAGGACACAGAAGGCACAGCCCTAGGACGCAGTCCCAGCCTTTGTCCCCTGAGCCTAAGACACCTTCAATAGGTCTCTTGCTCATGTGGCCTCAATGTTTTATTAAAGGGAAAGGCAACGTTTTCCCCCCAGATGGAACACTCAGGTAGCTCAAAGGTTATTGAGGACTTAAAAGGGAGAAGGGAAAGGAGGAGGCTTGCAGGGACGATTGCAGGTAGCCAGGCCAACACAGCACAATGGCTCATGCAGCAGGAGTAGATTGGCTTCTGGCCTGGGCGATCATAGATGCTTCTCCCCTTAAAGGCAGGAGAGGGCCAAGGTGGGTTCCGTTAAGGAGGTTGGAGGAAAGTGTACGTCCCACACCCTCTTGTACCCTGCTGTTTGTGCTCACACTGCCCTACTCAGGGCCCATTTGTGACCAAAATGCAGCACAACTCAAGAAAGCATGCCAGGCAGTTATCTGACTGAGGAACACAGTGGTCAGGACGCCAAGGGTCAAGGGAAAGTGCACCCGTGTTTTGCTGTTTCCCACAATGGTTCCCTACTCCCCTACTGTTTACCTGTACCAGTTTCCCTGGAGCATGGGCCAATGGCGAGGGGCTTGGGAAGCAGCCTCATTGCCTTTGACATTAAAGAAAGCTGGTTCCAATGGTTTGATAGGTTAGACTCTCTAGCCATTTACAAAGGGGCAGATGTGCACCTGCAAATATTTGCATCAGGACCAAGGAGTAAAGAAGGTTGAGGTTTTGGAGTAAGAAAGGCCCAGTTTTGGGGACCAGCAGTTAGCGTAATGGCTATGTCGCTGGACTCCCACGTAGTAGACCATGGTTTGAGTCCCGGACCCAGTGACTTAAACTCACGCCGGGCACGTGTGCATGCGTGCCCAAGATCCCGAGAGGAGAATGGAGGAGAAGGGATTGCAGCATGGCCATTCCCCCTGGGGGGTGATTTCTCGCTTTCTGTCTCTCTGTCTCTGTCTGTCTGGTGAGCGTACACACCCTATAGTGTAAAAAAAAAGGCCCAGTTTCGAATATCAGTTGAGCTTCTTTATCAGTCATGTGACCTTGAGAACATTAGTTTGCTGGCTAATTTCCTCATTTGTGTAAAATAGAACAATTTGTACAGGGTTGTGAGAACTAGAAATTTTGTGTGTGTGTGTGTGTGTGTGTGTGTGTGTGTGTGTGTGTGAGATGTACGCATAGCAGGCATACAATACATAGTCATTATCATTAGTGACATAACACTCAAATTTGTGTCTTTGAGCAAATTTGGGTTGTCAAGCATTTGTAGTTCCAACATAATATTTTTCATACTGTGAATTCTATTTACATGCTTGAGAAGTGAAAATATCATCCTCTTCAAGAAATAGTGTAGACTGGGGCCAGCAGGTGGTGTAGTGGTTAGGGGGGCTGGACTTCTACTTCGGTTCGAGTCCCAGACCTGGCAGCTTGCTTCGCGCTTTCCCTTCCTCGCTCTCTCTCTCACTCTGTCCCTGTCTGGTCAAATTTAAATAAATAAATAAATCTTTAAATAAAAAAAATTTTAAAACACGAAATAATGTAGACACGCAAGGCTTGAGCATATTAAATATATACCCTCTTTCTTCCCTTGTATTTGCCCACCTTCTAACAATTTTGGAATATTCCCAAGTGCTTCATTTTGTAATACATCATAAAGTAGCCAACTTGTTGGTACAAAGTTCTACATGTTAAGATGTTTGTTCTCCTATCTTTGTATCTCTTAGTCACTTTGGTGAGCCATATGGCTTGATGATAAATCATTTTGTGGGCACGTATAGATTACCAGTTGAAATAAAACCTATGGAAATTCCTGAGACATACAAAATCACAGTACAGTATAATTTCATCTGTAAGTGTGTGGCTATATGGAACGTTTCTTCTAATTTTTAAGTCAAAGAATAGCATTGTGAGGAAGTTGTATTTATAACCAGTACCATGAAACAAGTACCATTATTATTAAGAGTTATTGTGTAATTCACTTTAAGCGCCAAACTGTAGGCCATCATCTGCTTAAAAATCGAAGCCGCGGGGAACCAGCAGTTAGCGTGATGGCTATGTCGCTGGACTCCCACATAGTTGACCACAGTTCGCGTCCCGGACCCGGTGGCTTAGAATTCACACAGGGCGTGTGTGCGTGCGTGCCCAAGATCCTGAGAGGAGAATGGAGGAGAAGGGATTGCAGCGTGACCATCCCCCCTGAGGGGTGATTTCTCACTTTCTGTCTCTCTATCTCTCTCTGTCTGTCTGGCGAGCGCACGCGCCCTATAGCAAAAACCTCTCAAAAAAAAAAAAAAAAATCGAAGCCGCCAAGTTCCAGTTCTATAAGGAATGTGGCAAACCCTTGGAGTTTGATTTAACGTGGTTTTTCCTGAAACTCTCTCATTGAAAGATGGTGAATTCCTGCAGGAATAAAACCACCTAAGTGACATCAACTGTTATGTTCTGTACTAGAGACCTGCAGCTCATATCATAATAATACTTTGTAAGGCCTACATTAGTATTCACTGAGGTCCCCCTGCAAATGTAATCATTAACCTAATTAACACACTGGAAACTCAAACCATTTCTTAAATATATCCTGTTAATATGAGGATGTCATCAAAAAGTTCATAGAGGAGCCAGCAGGCGACATGGTGGTTAAGGCGCTGGACTCCCACATGGCTGACTGCAGTTTGAGTCCCAGACCTAGCAGCTTGAAACTCACACCAGGTGCATATGCACCCAAAGTCCTGAGAGCAAGAAGGAGGAGAAGGGATCGTGGCATGGCCATCCCCCTGTGGTGGGAGGGATGATTTCTCATTTTTCCTCTCTCTGTCTCTCTCCAGTGAGCACATGCACCCCATGACAAAAAACCTTAAAACTTTTTTCATAGAAATGTGTTACTTTTAAAAAACTACACATAGATTTAAAAAAAATATTTTTGCACCAAACTAAACGGCTATTTCATATTTCCGTGAACATTTTGAAGTCTCCTCATATACCCTCTCCAATATGCATACATGAGATATTAAAGACAGAGAACACTGAGACAGTGAGGAGAGTGCTAAACACTTCATAGTGACAGGCATGGTCTTCACACACACATACACACACACACGTGTGTGTACACACACTCATACCCTCGCCAACTCCTCACAGATCCAAACTGGAGAGACGAAGCTTATGGGTTCTGATCCAAGGATATTGATCTTCCCAGAAATCCTTATTCTTCTTGCAAAGTCTTGCTTCTGGGTTCTACGAATCATAGGCCCACTCAGAGTTACATCACTGTTGCGGGTAAAGCAAACTGGAGCCCACGTGCTTTAAGCAAAGAGAGTCTGGCAGAAGCAAGTGATGGGTCAGGGCAGAGGCAGCCAGACATACCTTTCATTTCCTCATTTGTAAAATGGCAGGACTGTTTACAGCCTAGTCAATGGCGCATAAATGTGGAAGCGTTTGTAAACCGTGAAATCTATGCTCAAGTGAGGTTGATACGACTTAGAATTCCCTTTCTCAGCCCTTTCTGGGCCTGCAGAAGCTAACATCCTTCACTCCAGCCCACTGAGGATGGAGCAGAATAAAAAAGCTAAGCAAGAGCCAGCACCAAGGCCTCCTAGATCCCTGCCCTTCGTCCCAACCCACCCAGAGCACCCACTCCAGTAACTTACTGTTTTGTTAACCTTGAAGAAGGAGGAGACCTGCTTAATTCTCCATGTGTTTGCTGTTCTGAAGTAGGGAGAGTAGACATGGAAGCAGAGGATCATTATTCACGGAAAAGTACTTCTTTGTGTCCTTTTTCATAAAATGCCTCTAGAAGGAGAATCAATAAAGAAAAACATTGAATACACTGCTTTCTTCAAGGATGGTCAGAGACAACAAAGGAAAAAAAAAACACACACACACAATAAACAAAAGAGAATTTGCCAGGGTCAGCAGGTGACGTGGTGGCTCAGGCTCTGGATTCCCACATGGCCGACCACAGTTCAAGTCCCAGACCTGGGGGCTTGAAAATCATGCTGGGTGCATGTGCATGTGCATGTGCATGTGTGCTCAAAGTCCTGACACAAGGGACTATGGCGTGGCCATCCCTTCAAGAGGGTGATTTTTCATGCCCCCACATCTCTCTCTGGCAAGAGCACACACCCTATGACAAAAGTCTTAGAAGGGGTGGGGATGAGGGAGGACCTTCCTTTCCATTTTTTCTCCTTTTCCTTCTGTTTCTTGCAAGACCAAAGCAGGAAAACTATGTATCACATGCGTTCCCCATGCCTTGGGTCAGATCAGGTGTCTTGCATGGAAGTGTGTTGTTACAGAACCTATCAGACAAAGCATTGTAAGTCTCTAGTCTCTCTCCAAGGAGTTCTCCTCAGTGTTGTTCTTTGAAACCCCTCCTCATGGCTGCAAAGATATGGAGCTGCTCACAAGCAGGGCAGCCTCTCTAAGTTTGTCCTTTTCTTTTTTGGGGGGGGAGGTTTTTTGCTATAGCGCGCATGCACTTGTCAGAGAGACAGAGAGACAGAAAGCAAGAAATCACTCGTCAGGGGGGATGGCCATGCTGCAGTCCCTTCTCCTCCATTCTCCTCTTGGGATCTTGGGCACACACGCACACGCGCCCAGCGTGAGTTTAAGGCACCAGGTCCAGGACTCGAACCGTGGTCAACTACTTGGGAGTTCAGTGACATAGCCATTACACCAACTGCTGGTCCCTAAGTTTGTCCTTTTCAGGTCTGATTATCTCGAACGAGGTGAAGAACATCTACATACAGAAATCTCTCCTCTTTACTTTAGCGTGGTTTTATATAAGTGATGAGAGACTCGAAGTGGGGTAGGGAGTCTTCCTGAACCTCCAAATTCCAAGCGTTCGAAAGCCAGCCTTTAAGAGATTGTGCCCATCAGGCTCTGTCAGCCATAACTTACACAGAAAGAAAGCGACCCAGCCCCAGCATCGAGCCCCCCGTCTGTTACTCGCCTGTGCGTTTTGTTCATCACTAAGAATGCTCTTTGGGGATCTGCCCCTCTTGCTTTTATTACTTGAATCCTAGACAAGTGAAGAGGAAGAAGAGTTAGAAGAGGAGGAGGAGGACCTGGAAGAAGATAGGAAATCCACAAAAGAAGAGGAGAATGAAGTGTCGAAGTCTCCAGAGCCACCGCCAGTCCCCATCGTGGCTCCCACTGAGGGGCCACCCCTGCAGGCCCTGAGCCAGCCCTCAGGCTCCTTCATCTGTGAAATGCCCAACTGTGGGGCTGTAAGTATGTCTTTGTCTTTTGGGGATCCGGGACTGTTGAGGACAGTGCAGCCATGCCTGACTTTAAGAGATGATGCATTTTCCAAAGAGTTGTGCTTTGGAAATGAAAATTTGGCAGAGGGCACCTTATGTTGCCATCGTTTTCTTATTTATTGGCCAACGAATATTTACGGAGTGTATCTCCTGTGTAGAGCCGGATGCTGTGCGCTAGAGGGCACAGACATGATCCCTGCCCTTGGGAGGTGTGCATCCAGCACACTCAGTGAGCATTGGTTTCTAGAACAGACACGCCATACGTCCTGCAGCCTCTGCACTCCCCCGGGGCCGTGTGTCATACACAGTTGGGTAAATGCACTCGGGTAGCCCCAGACAAGTAGCATCCTTTAATAACATAATTATTTGTCCCCCACACTGCTACAGTTTTACCTGGAATGTTTTGCATTTCGGAGTCCATAAAATGCTGCTAATTCAAATGTCACCAATTTGAAATTTGAGAAGATTGTTCCAAAGATTTAGATAAATTTTATCTGTATTCTTGGGAGTATGGGTAACTAAATCTACAAGATTTATAAATCATCAGGTAAAAGGTTGAAAGAGAAGCTTTAGGCTAATACTTAGTACTTTTCAAGTACGTTAGAAACATCACCTAGCTAAAATAAAACAAGCTTACCAATCGATCATTCTTGGTGCTAAATAAAGCCCCAACTGTACTGACCTTTATTTCTTTTTTTTTTCTTAAGAGAGATGTTTTTGCTATAGGGCATGTGTGCTTGTGAGAAAGAGAGAGAGAGAGAGAGAGAGAAATCACTCCCTGGAAGGATGGCCATGCCACCATCCCTTCTCTTCCACTCAACTCCCAGGATTTGGGACACGCACGCACATACACCCAGTGTTGTTTTAAGCCTCCCAGTCCAGACCAAACGGCAGTAGGCCATGTGGGAGTCTAGCACCTTAACCCTATGCCATCTGTTGGCCCTTCCACGTGTACCTTCAATGGTGTTTTTAAATCTCGTTTACTCTGGATTCTCTCTCTCTCTGGCTTCTCACTAGTATAAATTAGTGAGCTTTTCCCAAATCAGGTTTCTGAAAGCCAGACCCAGCTGTAGAGGCAAGTTGTACAGGTGTTACTCCCCAAATGAGAATGTTGCTCCCTTCATCGGAGCCCCTTTTCCCCAGATTGGTGCTCTTGGCCTCGGCTGTATATCATATAGGAGACTTCTGCTTTCTGTTTTACTGTGTGTTGCTTAGTGAGTCTGTCACTTATGAAGAAAGCAAAAGTCTTTAAAATATTTAGCTCTCATAGCAGAAATTTGATTGATTTATGTTTTTGAAAAAATGAAAATGTTAACTATATACATATATGTACATTTTGTATTCGCTTTGAAGAAAGTGTGTAAGAAATTTCTAACTTGTTTTGATGTTTAATGACCTGACCTCATCTCTTCATCATTGCCATTTTGTATAGAGTGCTTCTGTTCTGGGTTGATTAAGAGAGAATTAAATGACAGCATTTGTACAGAAACTGGATGCTTCCTCGAGTCACAGTTTTGTGACAGTTAATTATTTACTAGCGGAAAATCATCTTTTACTTTTCCCAATCAGAAATTTTCAGCAAGACAGATATCTTTAAAATCACAGGATGGCCCAGCTGTGGTAGTATGCACTGGTTGACACTGCTGTTCATCAGCTGAGGCCACGTGGCAGGCCCAGGTTTGATTCCCAGCCTACCCTAAAAATTTGGGCCTCATGGTATGCATCTATAGTCCCAGCTACTCAGGAGTCTAAGGCAGGAGAATTGTGACATTGGTAGATCCTATCTTAAAAAATAGAAAGAAAGAAAAAATCACAGGGAAAAGGCATGCTCATTTTATTCCTTACCTAAATGATGGGGACTCTGGTTGCTAAATCAACAAAAGAATATTTTTCCTTTGTAAGACAATGAATGGAGCTCACGAACGTAACACAGAGCAAACCGACAGCTGGACAGTGCTGTGGGTACTCCCTTTAGCGGACATGTGTGACGAGCTGGAAATCGGGGCTCTTGGAATTAAGGAGTAGGTTTATATCCCTTTACAACTGCAGTTCTGAACCGAGAATGATTGGTTCCCCCAGGAACATTTGGCAATGTCACTGGAGAGGTACCACTTGCCTCTGGTAGATAGAGGCTGGAGGTGCGCTAAACATCCCATACCGTACAACCCCCTACGATGGAGGACTGTCTAGGCTCAAATGTCAGTAGTGCCGCGGTTGAGAAGCCCTGCTTCATGGCAAGCTTCTCCTTTTATTGCTCTGAATTAAAGTTGTGGGTCTTAAACCTTGCTAGCCTCAAGACTATATATATATATATAGTCTCATATATCCTTGTCTTTCAAATTGTGTCCCTTGGGGTGCTAGAGTTTCCTAGACGAGACAGAGCTGAGCACACACAGGCTCAATTCTGGGGTACTATTTCCATTTCATCCAGAGCACCTCTGCTTTTAACTTGAGCTTTTGAGTAGGATCTGGTTTGTTCAAGTAAAAGAAGAAGAAAGTAGGAGGGAAGAAGAAGGAGAGAGTTTGAGGTTTTAAAATGAATTGTGGAAGCTGGTCAGCCGCCTTGTTTTGAACAAGTACAGAAGGCCCGAGGGCCTCCCTGTTAGTTATGACAGCTGGGTCACAACCCCTCGTCTCCTGGCTTCTAGACAGTAGCTTTGTCCTTTATGCTGGGCCATGTTGCCTCTTGTCTTTCTATTATAACAATGATGAGATTTTCTAAAACTTGGCATGGCATTTGTGGTTGTGGTATTTGAGCTTTACTTTCTGTGGGCATATGCCCAAAATTTGCTTATATAAGACTCTTGTACCCTGTTGTTAGTCACTGTTTCAAGCGTCATATGTTTTGCCATTGAGTAACTAATAACCCTAATTTCCTTTTCAGGACTGTAGATGTCATGTCACTCCCTTTCTTCCCCAGGTGTTCAGCTCCCGACAGGCATTGAACGGCCACGCCCGCATCCATGGTGGCACCAACCAGGTGACCAAAGCCCGAGGAGCCACCCCCTCTGGGAAGCAGAAATCTGGTGGGGCCCAGAGCGGGTACTGCTCGGTGAAGAGCTCTCCCTCTCATAGCACCACCAGCGGCGAGACAGACCCTACTACCATCTTTCCTTGCAAGGAGTGCGGCAAGTAGGTGGAATTGGACTGCCGTCTGACTCTGTTTGTGATGGGTGATTGTTCTGTTAGAACTAGACTGAGATGGTCTGAGGTTTCAGGATCGAAAAGAACCTAGACTCTTGAAACACTTCTTCTGGGGCCAGCTGGTACTATGGTGGTTCAGGTGCGCAGTTCAAGTCCCAGGCCCGGAGGCATGGGAAACACACTGGGTGCGTGTGCATGCATGCCCAATATCCCAAGAGGAGAATGGAGAAGAAAGGATTGTGGCATGGCCATCTCCTGTGGTGTGCACTCTCTCTCGCTCTCTCGCTCTCTCTCTCTCTCTCTCTTTCTGTCTCCCTCCAGTAAGCACATGAGCCCTGTAGTGGAAAAACACCACACTCCATGAGGCTGACTCATATAAGAAGGTTCTGGGTTCACATCCAGAGACCTCCCTGAGTACACCAAGCATATATTTGCCTATGATCTAGAGCTGGCTGGAGGTTAGAGGTGGATCATGGCATCAAGACCCTGTTGGGGGTACTCTCTCTCTATCTCTGTCCCTGTATTTGTCTCTCTGTCTCCCTTCCTTATGGAGAAGAAAAATAAATACACTTTTTAAAAATAAAATTAAATTAAAAACCTCTCCTCTGATCATACTTGTGGACCACGTTTCTGACTTAGAATATGTGAAAAGTGACCACAGAACCTGGTAAGGATGGATACCTTTAGAGAGTGAACTTCTGATAAAACTTCACTAAAAAATCTTTCCTGGAAGTTATTGGTGAGACTCTGATTCACTCTTCTTCCCTTCAAACCTAAGCCATATCCATGACTGTCATTCTCTTTGTCTCCCTGCTGAGTGATTTGAGAATGACTTTAGAACACCTAATAAGGAACTCTCACTCCTGTGCTCAGTGCAGACATCACTAATCAATCAATCTTTGGTGTCACATTAAGATTGAGCTGAAAATCTTTTCATCACAATGCTTCAAGCTGACATAACTAGTTGATCAGTTGACACATGAGATAAAACCTATTTGTCAACACGGCCTTTTTAGGTATAATTTAAAATAAGATGGAAAAGGATAGTGGTAGTAATAATAACAGCTAACATTTGTTAAGTACTTATTTTGTTACATACTTTATGGACATGAACTCAGTTAATCCTCACATAGAAAGTTCATGTGCTGTAGATACTGTTTTTTCCTTGTTTTACAAATGAGGACTTAAAGTTAGGTAAAATTATGTGCTCCAGCCCACATCACCAGTGAAAAACAGATGGAGGGCCAACAGGTGGTGTAGTAGTTAAGGTGCTGGACTCTGATATGGCCGACCGCAGTTGGAGTCTTAGACCTGGTGGCTTGATTCCTCTCTCTCTCTCTCTTTCTCTCATATGCATGCCCTGTAGTAAATTTTAAAATAATAATAGGGACCAGCAGGTGGCATAATGGTTATATCGCTGGATGCCTACATAGTCAATCACAGTTCAGGTCCTGGACACAGCAGCTTAAACTCACACCAGGTGCTTGTGTGTCCATGTCCAAAATCCTGGGAGGAGAATGGAAGAGAAGGGATTGCGGTGTGGCCATCTCCCCTGGGGAGTGATTTCTTACTTTCTGTCTCTCCATCTCTCCAGCGTCCAGCGAGTGCACACACCCTATAGCAAAAAAACAAACAAAAATCTCTCTCTTAAAAAATAAGTAAAATAAAATTCATAATTCTTTTAAAAAAGAGAAAGAGCAGAGCAGAGATTTGAATCAGGCTTTGTCCAGATGCAGACCTGGGAGTCAGGCACTTTAGCAGCCTCTTTTTTACAAGAAAAGAAACTGAGACACAGAAAGTTGAAGCTCATTTTCGGTAAACACCAAGTGGCCCGTGCCTAGCAAGCTCTTTGCCTCCATGCCGTGCTGCCTGTCCATAAGCCTTCCTCAGCACCACGAAGGGAGACTGGGACTAGCGGCTGTCTTCCCTTCCACGAGGCACTGGGGTGGGAGACATGGAGTCCGGCATCCGTCTCCTCTGCGCTCGGATGTCTTTCAGAAATAGTGCAGTATTATCTCACGTCACCACCCACCACATATTGAGTAATGACCTGGATGGATCATGAGGCTTATTGACACGAAACAGTGATGAAACCACCCTGCGCTGACTCTCAGTTACCACCTTCTTGTCCAAGTGGAAGTGTGGGGTCAGTCAGGGTCCTGCCGGGTTCCTCTGAAAGGAACCAGCACCTTCCACTCATTTGGATTAAACAGACTACAACTCTTTATTCCACCAGGTGGAGACAAAGGACATTTTAACCAACAAAAATTAGTGTTTCATGCTTTCTGACTGCCTTTCGATGGCACCTATTGAATGTTTTTCTTGCCTTATTCGTATGTTTTTCTTTTCTTATTTGTATGTTGCTTGGGAACATTTACCATCAAAAGCCCAGTTAAGATTTTTATGGAGGGACCAGAAAGTGGTACAGTGGTAGCGCAGCCGGTCCTGGTCCTGCATGGAAAGGTCCTTGGTTTGAGTCCTGAGGCCTCCCTGAATGTGCCAAACGTGCTCACACGTGGCCTGAGCTGACTCAGACTGGGGGTAGATTCATGGAGCACCGACTGTGTTGGGGTTCCTGTGCCTGTGTGTGCACGTGCATGTGAATGTGTGTCTCATGGAAGAGAGAAGTATAATACCAAGAAAAAAAAGATTTTACAGAAAATAGAAATATTTTCTAGACTATGAATAAAATTAGACAAATGCTTCCAGAATGTTTATCTGCTAAGATGATGTTTAGTACATTAGTTTTTTTTTAATATTTTAGTTAACTTTATTTATTTATTATTATTATTATTTTCACATGAGTTTTGCCAGAGAAAGAGCGAGAGAGAGAGAAACAGAGAAAGGAAGCCACCAGGTCCGGGACTCGAACTGGTCAGCCATGTGGGAATCCCAGCGCCTTAACCACCACACCCCTTGCTGGCCCCATAGTACATTAAATAGTTTTTAAGATATCCAAATAGAATTGTGATTCATCAACTCTGTTTGATGTGGGCTTTAGAAATCTCTTCTTTCTTTAATGAACTCAGGAATGAATATAGAATATTTAAGCCATACTCTCTATAAAACCTCACCGTGGGGCCAGCAGATGGCAAAGTGGTTAAGGCACTGGAGTCCCACATAGTCAACCATGGTTCGAGTCCTTGACCCAGCAGCTTGAAACTCATGCTGGGCACATGTGCATGTGTGCCCAAAATCCCAAGAGGAGAATGAATGAGAAGCCACTGTGGCATGACCATCCCCCCAGGGTGATTTCTCGCTGTCTGTCTCTCAGTCTCTCCAGCAAGCACATGTGCCCTATGGCAAATATCTCTTAAAAAAAAAAAGTCAGAAAATCTCACCCTCACCCTGGACAAACATTTCTGAAAAAAGGTCCAGACAGTAAATATTTCAGGCTTTGCAGGCTTTACTCTCTCTGTCCTAACTATTAAGCTTTGCCGTTGTAGCACAAGCGCAGCCGTAGGTAATACATAAACAAGTGGACATAGCTGGGTTCCAATAAAACTTTATTTACAAAACAGGCAGACTTGGCCCATTGACCCTGGTCTAGATAATTAACCTTAAATATATGACAGCCTTGTATCTCAGAGTTTCTGAACCTCAGTACTATTGATACTTTGTATCTGGTGGCTCCTTATTTGGGGAAGAGGCTGTAGGATATATAACAGCATTCCTGGCCTCTATCCACCAGATACTATAAATACCATCATTCCTAATCCCCCACCATTTGTTAGTTGTGAAAATCAAAAATGTCTCCAGACGTTGCAGGAAGTTCCCTGGGAGGACAAAATTACCTCCAGCTGAGAACCATTATTTTATTCTAAAGCCAAAGCAGGAACTGATGCTAATTTGGTGGTCAACAAGATAGAGTCTTACAAGACTGGGAGTGATGGATGAGCTCAGAAATTTGAGTACAATAAAGGTGAAAGAGGGACGCTTGAATTTGGTCATACACAGTTTCTGGTGACCTTGAGAAGAGCAATTAGGTTGAAGTAGAAGGAACGGAAGTCTAATTGGAAAAGCTGGAGGAGAGAAAGAAGAAGTATACCAACTGTGTGTGTGGCGGAGGGCAGATCCTTCAGGAATTTTGACTGTAGGCAGCCTGGTGGTACAGTCAGTAGCAAACTGGACAGCCATGATGGAGGCCATAATGCTGACCTCAAGTTCAGACCCCCGGGTTGGCCTGAAAACTCACTGGACTCCTGGATGCTTGTCCAAGATCCTGAGGAGCTAGAGGCTGGGAAAGGGAGATCCCCCTAAACACACACACACACACACACACACACACACACACACAC